TGCTCTTTTGGTTAACAAGCAAAAGTGGCTTCTAAAACAATCACCACCATTTTAGGCCCCCCAAAATGAAAAACTGCTGTGTTTAAAATGAAATAGATATACCTAAATACAGTGCATTGTACACAAAATTATTTTATTTTGCATAAAAAATCCTGTTACATGGTTTGCAAACATTCTCATTTTACAGAAGAGAAAATGAACATATGAGCTGACATAATTTGCAGTACACTTACATCATACATACAGCCTTCTTGACCAATGCTATACCATGCTGCCTGAACTCTGTTCATCATCCTCATCTCTCCAAAGAACTTTAGACACTACTTCTGAGACGTAGAGCTTTGATCAGTGAGCCTCCAATTATGCTTGCTACCATGCCACTTCCAGGCCAGCTCCACAGAGTGTGGCCTTCCCCACCCCCTTGCTTAGCAACCTATCACATGCTGTCTTTTTGAAGCAGATTGTAAACTCTTTGAGGGCAGGAACTATCTTTCTGGCTCATATCTGTCTCCAGTGCTTATCATAGTGCCTAGCACATAGTAAATACTTTATCAGTCTATCCACCTAAATGAATACTATCATTGGGAAGGCAGTATAGTATAGTGAAAATGTATACTGGCTCTGGAGTCAGTGGAGCTGAACCCCTGCCCTCATACTAAGGGACTTCAACATACATATTATATTGATACTCTCTCAAATACACTAACCTCCAGATTGCTCAACTTACTAATTCCCATGACTTACTCCTTCATTCCACTACAGCTACACAAAGATGGCCATACCCTTGATCTTGCTATCACCCACAAACGTGCCACATACATGTTCATGAACTCTGATCATTTGCTGTCATTACATCTCTCCTTTTACTGTGCAACTCCAAATCCTATTCTTCCTCCTGACCATGACTTCCAATCACTCCCCTCCTCAGTTTTTCCCAGGTCATCACTTCTATACTGGCTATACTCTCTTCCCTTTCTCATTCTGACCATTGTACACTGTAAACTGCCCTTTTCTTTTGAATTTCTTGTCCTTTTATCCTACTGAAGATCTTGCCTGCTTAACCTCAGACTTGGATTACTTCCACTGGTTGCTGCCTTCTCTCCCATTCATGGGCTGGTGAACGGAAGCCAGAGAAAATCATGAAACCATGATGGATGGGTCCTCTATAATTTATGTTACATAATCTCAACTGGGTGTCACTGTAGCAAGACAATCCTCTTACACCCCCCAATCAATTTACTATATCACTCACCAAAGCAGCTTTTCCAAGTCTTTTCATCCCTCCCCAAACTTCCTTGGCTCTTCCTCTCCTCATCCTCTCAGTTGAGAACACTACCTCATATTTCAGTGAAAAAATTGAGGTCATTGGCAACTCACCATTTAGATGTCTTCTGCTAATATCTCCTCCTTCACCCTATCTCACATGAAGCTGTGGTCCTTCTCCTTGCCAAGGCAAAATTCTCCACATTTACAAGTGATGTCATTCCATCCCATCTTCTCCAGCAGAATGGTCCCACCAACAGTACTACTCTCACTAATTTTCGATTGGTCCCTCTCTACTGGTTGCTTCTCCTACTGCCTACAAACAGGGCCACATCTCCTCATTCTCAAAAAAATCCTCACTTGAACCATCAGTCCCTGGTAGTTATCATCCCATATTCTCTCCTTTTTTTTGTGGCTGAACTACTTGAGAAGGTTGTTTACAATAGGTGTTTCCACTTCCTTTCTTCTTACTATCTTCTGAAGTGTTTGCAGTCTGGCTTCCAACCTCATCATTCAATTGAAACTTTTTTTACCCTTCTCTCAATCTTCATCCTTCTTGACTTCTTCAGCCACTGACACTATCAATCAACCTTTCTTCTCCTTGATATTCTCTTCTTTCTAGGTTGCTTTGACCTTACTCTCTCCAAGTTTTCTTCTTACTTGTCTGATAGCTTCTTCTTAGTTTCCTTAGATCTTCATCCAGTCACGCCCACCAAGGTGGGGATCCCCCAAGGCTCTGTTCTGGATCTTCTTCTCCTCTCCCTCTGTACTATTTTGCTTGGTGATCTTAATAGCTCCCCTGGATTAAATTATCATATCTTTTTCCCCAAATGTACCCCTCTTCCCTAACTTCCCTATTACTTGTGAAGGTACCACCATCATCCAGGTTCACAACCTAACATGTTGACTCTTCATTCTCACTCACCCCCCACATCCACAATCAGTTACCAAGGCCTATCCATTCTATCTTCAAAACATCTCTCATATATATCCTGTTCTATTCTCTGACACTATCACCATTCTGATATAGGCCTTCATCATCTCATGCCTGGGCTACTGCAACAGCCTGCTGATTGGTCACCCTATCTCAAGTCTATCCCCACTCCAACAATCTATCTGCCACTCAGCTGTCAAACTGATAATCTTTCTAAAGTACAAGTCTGGCCACATCACCTTCTCCACCCCTATTTAATAAACTCTTTCACTGAGTGCTTTCACTGGCTGTCCCATGTTTGGAGCTTTCTTCCTCTTCAACTCCAACTCCTAGGTTCCCTGGCTTCTTCCAGAAGACTTTCCCAGTTCTCCTTAATCTTAGTGCCTTCCTTATGAGAAAATTGCTAACTTATCCTGTATATGTCTAGTTTATACAGAGTTGTTTGTTCGTTGTCTTCCTCATTAGACTATGAGCTTCTTGGGAGCAGGAACTGTTTTTTACCTTTCTTTGTATCTCCAGAATTTAGCACACTGCTTGGCACACAGTAAGCATGTAAACAAATCCTAGTAAGCATTTTTCATGGTTACAACCTCTAGTAACCTGAAGCAAATCACTTAACTTCCTCTGGGTCTCAGTTTCCTCATCTGTAAAATGAAAGAATGGCAACTGATAGCCAAGGTTCCTTCGAGCTCTAGATCTACGATCCTATGATCTTTTGATGATAACCTCCCAGGGGAAAAAAAAAATCCCTTTTTTTTTTTTTTTTGCCTAGTACTATGCTGATAAGGGCAATGTTAAGTCAAGGCAGGATCTTAAACATTTTTTACGTCCTATTTTCCAGATGATATTTTCAACCACCTTATTTTCCCTTTCAAAACTCATTTTCTAATGTAAAAAAGCAAACAGGAAAAGTAAATTATAGATTATAAGGATGATAGTAGATAAGGAAAATATGAACATGAAATGAAAGATTTGTACCTAATTTAAACAGCAAATATTAAATCTGAATTCAATTAAATGTGACTGGAGTAAAGGAATAGATGTCAAACAGTTATATTATATTTGTAATACTGTATTCAATTTTTATTTAAGAACAAAAACAAACCCTGTATTCCCTTTGGAACCTCCCTTCTTTCTCCATCTTTGCTTCACTAAATCATTCATAATTTACATTATCATTTCAGTTCGACTCTCCTAGTCCTAATATCTTTTGCCCCAATTCAATAAAAATGGAGTACTCAGAATAAAGGGGAAGTAAATTAAGGCAATTTCAAGAGATCTAAAATCTCATCCATTCAAGAATGCAACCTACACCTTCTCATCTTGTGGACTTCTTGTCCATGTGTTTCTGTAAATCCCGCATAGAGAATCTCTCCAATGCTTTCCTCTGGGTCTAAGAACTAATCGAGCTATCATCAGGAGGTTGGCCTCTAGATAAAGAAAAATTTTGATTGGCTACAAGGTATAATTAAAAACCATAGAGGACCTCAGTTCACATACCATCTCTGAGGTTTTGTACACGTGTGAATTTGGGCAATTTATTTAACTTCTCTGGGCTTCCGTTCCCTCTTCTGTAAAAAGAGGGGGTTGGAGTATATGATCTGTTAGGTTCTTTCCAGTTCTAAGTCTTGTGATCCATGAAACATAAAAATACCAGAGGACTTCTCAGTCCTGTAGTTCTACAGAGAGGGTGGGAAGAAGGTGCTAAGAATTACAGAACCAATCAATGCTAGTTAGCAAAACAAAACAAAACAAAAAAGAAAAAGAGAGAGAGAGAACTTACTTGTGGAATCTATCACCAGTCTGTCATCAAGGCAGGAGTTGGACAAGCCAGTCACAACCTCTAACAACACCAGAAACTAAGACAGAGCAAAGTAACTATCGGATTGGATTCCTATGCCTTCTAAGTGTCAAACATTACACAACAAACTAAAAGCACCTCAATAATTGGAGAAGGTGCCATTCCAGTATTCAGACTAACCTATAATTCTATAAAACAACACACCGGTTCCAGAACAGGTACCCCACAGACTAATTTACCAAATTTTGCACTTTTGAACACCATCCTTTTTCCTGTGGTGACCAAAATCCAAATCCCAAAGTGTAACGATCTACCTAAACAGGTGGCTAATCAAATAGATCAATTCATTCAAGATGCACAACTGAAAGAGAACATTGTTGGCCGGCTTTAGAGACGTGGAGAAACTGATAAAAGTTTATGAATAGCGAAAGGCTCTGCACATGGATGAAGAATAAGGGAAGAGTACCAAAAATGGGGGGGGGGGGAGTGTAGATTCATTCTCGTTGAAGAGCCCGGCGGAACAGGATTCACTCCCCCGCCATGCCCCGCTCAGGCTGGGCAGGGTGGGTCCTCGACTGGCTCCCCAAGCCCCGGGAGCCAGGAGCCCGAGAGCAAAACTAGAGGTAAACTTAAAAACTCCACATCAGGGAAATCCGGAGAAGCCGCTCGCACCCGCGGTGCAGGACCGGGGAGCGCCGCTGTCGGTGGACAGCCGCCCCTTCTTGCGCCCCGTCTCTCGCCGCAGCTTCGGCGCTTCTCCCGGCCGAGCCTCGCCCGGCCCCGACGGCGCTGACGGTCCGGGGAGGGGTCCCTCGGACGCCCCCGGCCCCAGGCCTGGGGCGCCCTCCGCGCAGCCGCCCGCCGCCCCCCGCGTCTCCCCCGCGACAGCGCCGCTCCGGGCAGGAGGGGACGGTCCCCGTGGCTGCCGTTAACGTCCCCAACGTCGCGGAGGCCCAGGCCCCGCCGGGGGATGCGCCCCCCGCTCCCCCGGCCTCCCCGTACCGTAGGTCTCGGACATGGCCGTCTGCGACATCTTGGGAAGCGGGCGCCGCCTCTTCCCCCGGTCTCCGGCTGCAGCTCGGGGGGCCGGGGGCGGGGGTGAAGGAGAGGGGAGGAGCAGGGGTCAGTCAGCTAGAGCAAGGTCTGACCGGGGCTGGGGAGCCCGAGGAACTGGTGGGGTGGAGTGGGGTGGGCGGGGAAGGAGGGGCGCGGCCGGGTCCCCACGGCAACCGCCAGCCACCCCAGAGCCGCTCCTGCTCAGGACCAGACCGCGGGGTTCCGCGCAGGCGCACACTGCCCACCCACCTACCTCTCCGCCCTCCCTCCCCTGGAGAGCGCGGGGAGGGGAGGGAACTAGCTGGGGCGGGGAGGAGGAGGGGAGGGGTGGAGGGAAGGTAGTACTCGGAGACGGTGAACTGGGGGAACCCGACCTCCCACCCTCTCTAGCGCCTGCGCACCAGGGGCGGGAGAGCCAGGGGGCGGAGCGCGAAAGTCCTGGATCACCAAAACAAAGAGCACGTGCGCGGAACTCCATCCGGGGCCGACCGTCGGCGGGAGACCCCGGGAAAGGGAGGGAGGGGCGGCGGATTGCACACGCCCCGGACGGAAGCTCCAAGTGTGGGAGGTTAGAGGTGGGGTCCTAAGAGGGCGTGACCCATCCTTAGCTGGGTTACTGACAGGGGAGAATAACCTGCTAGGAAGGCTTACTAGGCTCGTGTTGGAAGAAGTGCTCAGGTGAGGAGGAGGCTTCTACTAAAAAGAGATTTACCCAAGGTGAGGGCTGGTACCCTGCCTTGGTATCCCGTATATTTTGCATTGACTGGGGCACTCAAAAAAATATTTGCACGTTCTGGCCTTTACTATGCTGCTCTGAAGCCGTGCAGCCGTACTTGAGTTGTAGCAGAAAGATACATGCACGTATTTATTGTCTACAGTGTGCCAGGGACCGTGCGGTGCATTGGGGATAAAAAGATAACAGTGAAAATAGTCCATATCAGGGATCTTATGGGGGGAAGGGGAGGGGAGAAGCAACATGTTCGTATATAGTTATATTAAAATATATAGATGCAAAATTATTTTGGTGGAGAAGGATCTAGCAGATGGGCAGGGGGATCCAGAAAAACCTCTTGTAGAAGGTGGTACTTAGAAACTGAGTCATGAAAGAAGCTAGAGATTCCAAAAGGTAGAAGTGAGGAGGGAGTACATTCCAGCAAGTGAAGAAGTAGGGTGACGTGTAGTTTACAAAGACTATCCAGTTTGCCTCTTAGAATGACTTAGAGGCCACAATGTAAGTAAGTAAATAAAGTAAAGTAAGGCTAGAAAGTTAGGTTGGGGCCAAGTTGTGAAGGGCTTTCAAGGCCTTTTAGGGACTCATTTGAGTTTATTGGTGTAATATACGTTCCCATGTAGGTGGCCTAAATGCAGAGATACTCATAGGTATGAATAGATAAGATGCGTGGGCTAGCCCTCCTCTGCAGAAGGCCTTTCCTGCATCATCCCAAAGCTAGCTGGAGAAAGGGGCAGGCAAGGTCTGAGACAGCTGGTCAATTTCTCCTCCAGTCTCCAAGAGAGGTATCAGACCAGAATCAGCTTTATCTGCTGCTGTCTCAAATATCAGGTATATGAATCTGGGTTTAAAAGGAAAGCTGACTTCCTGGTTGCTCTTGAGGGAGACTGTAGCTCTTAGCTTATATTCACCAGCTTCTCACCAAATACTCATTGCACAAAAGACCATCATAAGTAGCAAATGGTGAGTAAATCCATTTATCCAAGTAAACAGCAAATAGAAATTAGAGAAGTTATATATATTAAAATATGGCAAAGAATACACAAGAGTGAAAAAGTTCTTCAGCTGGGAAGCTCAACTTCGACTAGGAAAGCAAGAACAATCTCACCCAGAAAAGTGCATTTTATTAATCCCTAGAATTTCAAGCAAGTCCAGAGAAATTCGTGGGGCTGGCTTCCCATGTATGTCTGCTAGTCCAAAGACTTTATCCTTCTCCTCCATGGAGTGTCTTCTGTTCAAGTATCTCTTCCAAAAGTGACCGGAACCAATTCAGAAATTCTCTTTCACTGATCTGAAGCATCCTGCTCAACTTTATCTCAATTAATTAAGAGCCTCATCAACTTGTACATACTCAGTAGCACACATAACACCCCAGGCTTGGGTGACTGGAAGGATGGTGGTGCCTTTGATAGATATAGGAAAGTTAGAAGGAGGAATAAGTTTAGAGGGAAAGATAGTAAGTTCTGTTTTGGACATGATGACTGGTAATGTGGGACCACCACCTCTCTCAGGAGAGAGATTAGGGCTGGCTATAGATATAGGAGTCATCTGTATAGATAAGATAATTAAATCCTTGGAATTCTATTGTAAGAAATCAAACTGATAACAAGAATTATTCCCACAAAACATTTGACGATGTTTTCTTTGTCATCAACACCCACTATAAGAAGATACTTGTTTAGTATTTACCGTAACAGCAAGATGAAGCAGGTTCATTCTGCCTTCTCAAAGTATTTACAATTTAAATCTGGGCAAATATAAATTGATACGTAAATATGAGATGTGTCTAAAATCAAAAAGTAAGAGTTGAGTTCCTGTATTTTTCAACATAGAACAGACATTTACTGGTTCCATATATACGTATGTATGTATACACGCACATGTATCTTTCTAGCAATCCTGCGGCTAAAGATCACCAGGTTATCGGGTGACGGAACAAGGATCTGGATCCGAGTCATAAGGTCATAGGGTCACAGGTCTGGAGCAGGAAGGGATCTCAGAGGCCACCTAGCCCAAGCTGCCTCATCTCCCAGATACGGGAGGATGGAGAGGCTTTGTGATTGGCCTAAGGTCGCGCAGGCGGGTCCATCCAGACTCTAAACCCACTTCTCTTTTCCACTGTTCCTTCTTTACAATTACTGGTGGACAGCTGGCGTTGTTAGATTGCTTTCAATTTCCTATTTAGTTCTGTGATTCCTTTCCCTCTCAAGTGGTTGATTATTTCACACATCAGATTTTAATCAGCCTTCTAAAGCTTTTACAGGATGGTATGTGATTACTTTGCTACTTAGGTGTGTGATTAAAACCCAGTATCTCTAAAAATAAAATCTTACTTCCCTGAATTTTGTAGTACCTTCTGGAGTCTGTAGCAATGACACCAAACAGATGACACTTTTAACAACATTTTTTTAGTTAATATTTATGTGTTTGCTATCTCTGAGCTTACCCATCTGGTGAAAGGGTCCATGATACCAAAAAAGATTAAGAATCCATCTGGTACACCCTAATCTTCCTTTATCCTTTCTTTGTCCTCTTGCATTTATCTGTTTTTCCTCCCTTTTATCCCAGCTTGCTCCATCTAGTTGTCAGGAATCCCTCCTTAAATCCTCCTACCACAGCAGCCTATTCTTCTCCAAGCCCCTTCTGCCACTCCCTTATTAAAGTTTCACAAGCTCCTTTCTTTCTGGATAAGGGAATGAAGATAAGGAGGGAGCAAAAACCTGGGAAAAACAAGTGGCAGAAATCTTGCTCTCAAATAAACTTTTAAAGATAAATTCAGTTTGGGAGAGGAGGGAGGAAGAAGAGGGCAGGCCTGGGTGGGGGAGAGTTCACTTGGGGTACATATGGAAACTGTCATCTACTAGCTTTTTTTGGTCAGTTGTTTCAGTTGTGTCTGACTCTTCATGACCCCATTTGGGGTTTTCTTGGCAAAGATACTGGAGTGGTTTGCCATTTCCTTCTCCAGCTCATTTGACAGATGAGGAAACTGAGGCAAACAAAGTTAAGTGACTTGCCCAGGTAGTAAGTGTTTGAGGATAGATTTGAACTCAGGTCTTCCTGACTCCAGGCTCAGCACTCTATCCACTGTGTCACCTAGCTGCCCACTATCTAGTCTTTCAATCCATGTTTAGTTAATTATCATTATTTTGTAGCTTTCTCCATATTGCTCCAGTATATTCAATATTGGTACATTTTTCTGTCCTTTGGAGAGAAGGGAATGAGCATTCATATGTACCTACTAAGTGCCAGGCTGTACTAAGTGCTTTATAAGTATTATTTCATTTGATCCTCACAACAACTCTTTGAGGTAGGTGTTATTATTTCTGTCTACAGTGGAGGAAACTAAAGCAGACAGAGGTTAAATGACTTACTCAGAGTCACACAGCTAGTAAGTATTTGAGACTGAATTTGAATTCAGGTCTTCCTAACTCCAGGCCCAGTGCTAGCATCCACTGAACTATCGTGTTGGCTCTTTGCAGTCCTCTTCTTAAGTCACAAGACTTAAATCAGGCAAACTCTCCCAGGGCCTTACATCCTGCATGTATTGCTTTTATGTTTAGCATCAAAAAGTTGTTAGGGAAATAGATTCTGGGATCTCCTGGTCACAATGAAATGCAAACCACTTAGCAGGCTACAAATAATTTAATAGGAAGTCAGATTTATCTATGTCGTTCTTGTAACTAAAGTAGTTTTAAAACTCCTGACAAACTTGTTTTGTTTGTAAGAATAATATTTACATAGTGCTTTCCAGTTTCCAAAGTTCATATTTACACAGTGCTTCATGGTCTTCCCAACAGCCCCATTGTGAAGGAGGTAGTGCAGATATTACTATCAAACATTTTATAGAAAAAGAAACTGAGTTTCAGATAGGTTAGGTGATGTGTCCATTGTCACAGAGATATTAAGTGTAGGAGCTGGGATTCAAACCCAGACTTAGTGATTCCTACTCTAACACTGTTTCCATTTTACCACATTGCCTCAATACAAACCATCCCTTTATCCCACTATTTCCTCCTCACCTCCACATCCCTCCATTTTTTTTGGGAGGGTGGAAGGGGGTGGAAGGGGAAGAAAAGTAGTTCTTTGTCTCTTTTGCCTCTCTTTCCCTGTGGGCCTTGCTTGATCCAGCTGGGGTTAGGGAACTCTGCTTGCCACTTCTTCCATTTGTGGAAAGATTAATGAATACAATATGGAAGCCCTTAGCAATGAAATTAAATCCAGAAGTTCTGTGCCTCGTGTAGAACTCATATACCGAATTTAGCTCTTGGTGAACTGTATTTTATTGATTCACTATTTTGATACTGCTGTACCAAAATATCTAAATGTAGAAAAGCTCTTACCATAAATGATAAGTATATAGCATGTTATAGTGGATGCTAAGAGAGAAGAAAAATGGTCAGGTATGTTTTCCCAAGGTCCAAAAAGG